TGAAATACAACCTCATGTGAAGAAAACCTGGACCATGTGGTCCACGAGGAGACTCGTAACTGGAGAAAATATCGGAGGTGCCACGGATTTCGTGGCTTCACTACCAGCACCCATGGATGCAGTAGTCACAACATCCAACACCGGTATATTCAGTCCGCTGAAAAGGCCTCTTTTTTCCAAAGTGTCCAGAAGCACCCAGGTCCCTGGAGGCCCGAGGTGGCCCACAGTGAGCGTGTCTTCACCCGCTCAGAGGCCGTAAGAGCGAGCACAGCTAGAAAGAGGGCGGCCAGCCCTGTGGCACCTACTCAGGCCCCCGCTGTTAGGAGCGGCGAGGCCGTCGTCCTCGGTAAACTGGAGGGTCAAGGAAAATGAGAGCGAGCCTCGGTAATCCGGATGGGCACGGTGGCTGAGGCCATGGGCTCAGACAGCAACAGTGGCTGTGGGCACGGGGAGGGACCGGGCAGTGGGCATTCTGTTGTGCGCGGAGTTGCTATGGGTTAGAACGGACGCGACGGCAGCTCACAACCCGCTCCCCTCCAGGGGCCAGGCCTCTCGGGGCCCCTTGCTCAAGGTCGTGGGGTTTGGGTCTGTCAGCCTACCTTCCCCTTCTGGTTTCTAGGACCTCACGGGACACGTGGGCTCTGAGGCGCCTTTCCACTGGGCATATTCCTCCACTTCAAGGCCTTCTGTTCACTTCATTCAAAACAGCAGCAACAACCAAAATGGTTGTGGGGACACCCCGTTCCCCCCAAACCAATCCACAAGCTCTTCCCAATTCCTCTCCTCTCCGCCAAGTAAAAGAATACCAAACAACTCTGTTCAAAACAGTTTATTTTATTTTATTTTTTTGTCAGACAAACACATTGATTTCTGGACCACAGTAGAGGATGGAAACCTTTCACAAACTTATTTATTTGAAAATACAAATATAAAATTATACTTTCCACATCTGTGATGTGAGAGACTGCCATCCACATAGTAATTTTTTTTTACAAGAGGGCTTTAAGAAAGCCACACACAAAGACCTGAAAGATGCTTGAGATATATATATATATAGATACATATATATGTATATATATAAAAAAAATACTCACTACCAAAGTTCTCATCAGTTTCATACTAAAGTATAAAAGTAAGGGTGAGGTCAGCCACAGTGCTAGGGAAAGTTTTATTTAGATACATTTATGTCCACATGAAACGCTCGACCTGCATCCTATTACATATGGAATTCCGAGTTGACCGTACACCTGCACAGTGGACTGGCTAGTCCACGCTACTCAAGGGGACACTCACAGACTCCACGCAGGATGGTACAGTATGTACAGAATACAGGAGCGGACAGCCTTCCAGGGAGGTGCTGGGACACCCAGTCCCCATTCCCTCCCTCCTCGCCTCACACGAGGCCTGTCTCCCGGAAATGAAATCCTGTCCGCAGACAATACATTCTGATTATACGATTGCCGAGAGTGTTCGGATTAAGGTTGCTCCCCCACGGGGGTGGGTTTTATTTTATTTCTTATTGTGTGTGTATGTGTGTCTTTGATTTAGTTTGCTTACTATTTAAAAAAATTTTGTTTGTTTGTTTTTGGTAAAAAGAAACAAGGAAAACAAACATATTACAGTATTAAAGTATTGCTTAACTTACAGCATCGCCTGTGTAGTGTCTGCTGTGCCCAGGACTGGGTTGAGCTGACCTCTGCTTGGTTTCTGCTTAAGGAAAGGGAGAGGAAACCGCCGGCCCTCTCTTCCGTGTGCTTGCGCGCAGCCCTCCCCTCTCCCACCCCTCCCCCTTGCCCCCCTACCGGCTGCCGCCCTGGCCTCCACCTTCCTAAGGAGGGTAGCCTGACTTCCGAAGCACATTCAAGAAGGGAAAAAACTAAGAAAAATAGAAAAGATCCTACCTTCTCCCTTCCCTGCCCCCAAGTCTCCCTCTGTCCCTGTTGCGCCATTTCCAACGAGAAAGTATGAGTTAGTGTTTCTTTTGTAAACAATTTCATATGCAATATAATACAGAAAGCATGGCTGACCCTCAATAAAAAATGTAGTAAACGATATTGCTTTATTCTCGATTGCGCTGCAGTGAGTGAATGGCAAAATGAAGCAGGGTGGTGGTGG